GAAAAGAAAAGAAAGAAAGGATTCAACTCATTAATACTGAACCCTGACAAACCCCAAAGCTCCAGAGCATCTGTTGCAGGCAGGCACCACCTGGGGAGGTTCTGCCACTTGTCTCAGCCTGCTCTGTACCACTGCAACCCAGCAGACAGCACAGCCATGGCAACAGCTTCAAAATAGCTGATTCCTAAGAGTTCTGCAAGGCTCTCCAATTGATCCTGTTTTTAATTTGGAGCTTGGCTATTCACTCCTCTGCCTTACTTCTTTTTACAGGCTGACATGTGCAAGGTGCAGCAGGGACTGGCATCCTCTGTCCTTTGCTTTCTCCCAGGCCCACCCTGTGGTTGCCCCTACCTTGATCCCTTAGTTCAGCTCTTCTGGGGCCAGACAATGTGGCTGAAATGATGACACTCCCTCCCTCCAGCTCCCCCACCCTCCCTACAAAAGACTAAATATGTCCCTTCCCACACAAGGGCTGAGCTCCCCTGGCCCAGAGCCTGTGAACACTGACTGCTCTGACTCAATTAATTCAGCAGAATTCCAGCCCATGGAAGCCTAGGAGTTTGTTTTCTTTAGTTTCACCAAGACCCACAGAATATCAGCCTCCTTCTCCCTGAACCAAGAAAAACACACCTGCTGAGAGAATCCCTGGTCAGACAACCAAGCAGATCACAGCAAAAGCAGCAAGACTGCAAGGCTCAGGGATATCCTGGTCATCAGTGGCTGCCCAAGGAGGAGCACCTCTTCTGCTGCTATGGTACTGTTTTCTTCTTTATTTTTAGCTTCAACTTTAGGGTGCCTTCAGTCTAATCCTCTGCAGTTTATTGCTTTCAGTTACTGGGAAATAGCTGACATAGACTGTCCTTGTTTGTTTTCAGGCTAAGTTCAGACATTGATGCCTAGAAAAGAAAGAAATGTTCTTTGTAAGAAAAGATACCACAGAGTTCCTGTGCTGAGGCAGATGACCTTGATCTTACCCTAGAAACCATTATTTTCAATAAAACAACAAAATAAAAATATAAAATAATCCTGCAAAAATTAAAATCATTATTCTGTGATGACCAACAAGAGTCAAGCAAAATCCTTGCCTCTTGCAGAAGCATAAAACCAGCCAGCTGAAACCACAGCGCAACCTGATTTCTCCACACTTGTCCCAGTCTCCTGGAATTATCAGTTCAGGAACCTTAATTCAACAGGCAAGGTCACAAAAAAAGCAGATTCACTCTTCTCTTTTCCCCTAAAGGAGAGAGAAAAGCTGGGGCTGGGTTCAGAGAAACCTTTCCCAACTGTGTTGGCAGAACTGGTGAAAAACCTGTAGCAAACAGGGCAACCTTGAAGGAAATGCAGGTTCTGGGAGATGAAAAAACCCACCCATTGATATTAAATATAGAAAATAATTCTGCCTACTAAAAAGGTCTCATTTTGAGTCTCCTCAAATTAAATCCAAAGTAGCTCTTTTTGGCTCAAACTGGACTTAAACTATAAGAGGCTCCGAACAAAATAAAAAACAAACCAAAACCAAGCCTAAATAAAATCAAATTGAACAGTAGAAAGGAGGCATAAGAGACCAATCAATTACATTAGGTTATTGTGAATGGTTTATCTGAAATCTGTGTTAACACATCCTGAAAACCTGTTGGTTTGGGTTCTTTTGCTTTTAGCCATCAAGGACTTGTGGCTGATGGGTTTTGCCTCTGTAAAATTGTAGCACCTGGAGGGATGGATCCTCAGTAGTGGCCATTTACAGAATGAGAAGAAGAGTTATCTGCTTTGTATTTATTTTCTTTATTCTAACATCATCTTTTGCTCAGATCTGATCTCTACCTCAACTCAGCCTTTTCTTTTAATCTGAGCATACAGATGAAACAGCTTGTTCATGAATCCACCCTGTACACACACCTGCTCTCAGGAGGGTTTTTGAAACAGACCTGGAGGTTGGAAGGTGTTACAGTCACTGCAATTTCAGGGTATCACATGTGCATTTTGATTAGAGAAAGAGCAGAAGTTGCACAGAGAATTCTCCATTTCCCTGCTCATACATCCCCCCCTCATCCACTCAACTCCCTCCACTCAGGGCACCACTGCTGTAATCACCACCTGGCTACAAGGACCACATCTTGACAGCACTTCCCAGTGAGGTTGGAGGCACCAGCATCTCTTGCTGACACACTGGACACAGGACCAACCCAAAACCTTTTACAATATTGACAGGACTTCCCAATTGGTTAGAGTCCAAAGAAGTTCCAATGGAGTGATTTAACAAAAATCACATGAAGTGCTTTCTCAGTGACACTTTGGGAACACATGAATGAAAAACTTCATTCTAAAACTTGTAGAACTTCTTAATAATTATGAAAAAATCATAGTGTCTTCAAACATTTCACTTGAATCAAGGTCTTACAAAAACTTATTGACCGTGTCTCATCCTCATGACATGAGCATTCATGCCCACACAATGAAAAACTGAGCTCAAAAGCTGACCTTCTTATCCTCCAGATCCCTTTTCCAAAGGCCAGACTACATGAGGACTCATTAGTGGTGGCAGGGGATTGGGCAACTTCATCTTCTAGAGTTAGGTCTAATGACAAAAGCCTGTGCAGCATTTTCTGCCAGCACTGGAGCTGAAAGTAGGTCAGTCTGCATGATTTCTTTTGTTAAACAGGAGGCATTTTTCACCTTCAGCCCCGGCCTTTGCAAGTTAATCACTTTTGGAGGGCATTTCAATACAAGAGAAGCTGCTGGGTCCCAGCTGCAGGAAGTTTGCTGTTTCAGCAGCTGACAACAAAGCTGAGTCAGAAACAAAACAGACTTCTTGAAAGGCTGCAACTGGCATCTCATCTGGTCTGGAAATTCTCATTTTTTATTCCAGATGCAGGCTTGCTGCTCTGAACAATGAGCTGCAGTGAACCCTGGTGACATTCCTGGGTGGCTGCTCTGGATGATGCCCAACATGTGGTTCAGCACAGCTGAGGACAGGCAGGACCAGCAGCCACACCAGGTGCCATCACTCCAAGTCCCCTCATCCAAAATCAAGCTATGGGTTGGTGTTTCAAGGGACTGCTGACACTACACAAGGGCTGCCATCCTCCTGGTGTGTTCCTGTCAGGGATAAGCTCACTGGGAGCCTCTCTGATCCCCAGGGGTGCACAGCAAAGTTGCCAGCAACTGCAGAACCACGAGAGGTGAGCCAACCCAGTAGTCTCCAGTCTCCACAGTGGAAACTACTCCCCAGCAGTCTTTCTGAAGGACAGGACCAGTCATCTCAGCTAAAGCTTGAACTGTTGAGTTACAACCTTTGGGTTTCCAAACAGAAGACAAGCCATCATGAACATTTAAATAAAAAAAAAACCTCTTCCCTGAAGAATAAACTGACATTTAACTTGTGATCCATTTTCCCAGCTCTTTTTACTTTTTACTTTGCACTTGTTTCAACAAACCAAGTAGATGAACAAACATTCTATCTTTAAAAACCTGTTGATGTCCCAGGGGTTTCAGTTACCCCATCATATACCTCTGTCAGACTAAGCCCAGGCTGGGACCATGCCATGCTCAGCAGGCCCTCAGATGCACCAAGAGATGACAAAGCAGCTCTGTTGCATGCAGCCCATCCTCAGAGATGCAGCTCCTCTTCCTAAAGAAACTCTGTCCAAGTCCTGGCAGAAGTTTTCCTACAGGTTCTTCTGCAGATCACAGTGACAGCATTTCCACAGCAGGATATTTGCTTGCTTTTAGAATAGCTTCTTCAAGGTGGATGTACTTCTCTCTGCAGCAGCTGGGGGATCCTACCTTGGAGCTGTCTAATCCAGCCCACTCCACCTGAAAGCCCCATTGTGGCTGCCCCATCCCTGGAAGTGTTGAAGGGCAGGTTAGATGGGGCTCTGAGCAACCTGGGCTGGTGGGAGGTGTCCCTGCCCATGCAGGGGGGTTGGAATTAGATGATGGGCCCAAGTTGCTCTGGGGGAGATTCCTTTTGGACTAAAATGAGGCAAATGTTTCACCATGAGGTCAGTCAAATCCCCCAAGGGAGGTGGTGGATTCCCCCCGCATTGGACAGTTTGAAGTCAGCTTGACAGGGAGCTGAGTCACCTCATATAAACTAGAGTAGTGCCTAGAAAGGTTGGCCCAGATGATCCTTGAGGTCCCTTTCAACCTGTTATTCTATGATCTTGAAGGTCCCCTCCAACCCAAACCATTCTGTGCTTCTATGAGTCCAAGTGACTCATATAGACTAAACTTCTTTGGTCATCAACCATATCTTGTAAGCTTGGATCTGTAGCCCATCTGTGCCATCTGGGGGGCTGCTCACAGGAAACTGTAGCAGCACTTTTCCTGGAGGAGGCCACTGGGATGATCTTTCTGCCTTGCAATTCATGCACACATGCCTGAGAAGCTGAGGAAGGTTTTCCACCTCATTTTCTCCCACCTTCTCCATGGACTGAGCACCTCAGGCAGCTGCATCACCTGCTGCTGGGGCTTGAGTAGCTGCAGGGCTTCTAGAGGGGGCCAAGACCACTACAGGGCCCATTGCAGAGGTTGTGGCAGCAACTGAGCACCCACCTTTATGCCAAGGTCTCACTTTGAGGAGGACCAGAAACTGGAAGATATTCCCAAGGCCTGATGACATGAGCCCAGTGGCAGAAACCCCTCAGAAGAGGGGACAAAGATTCACAGGGCTGAACCCATGTGCATTCCTGACTCTGCCTTTCAGGACCACCACCAGTTTGTGACCACAGCATGCAGATGAAGTGCTGTAAAAGAACTAAGAGCAAAGTGTCCTCTAGAGAAGCTGGTCCAACACCCAAGCTTGCATATAACCAGACACTGTGTGGGCATTTTGTGGATCTTCAGATGAAGCAAGTTACAGGTGCCACTAGGTTCCTTCCACCAGCCATTTTTAGAGCCCAAATCCTAACTGGTTTTCTTTTCATCTTGCTTGCAGACAGGAAGCCTCTAATCTGTACCCCTGTACCATGAACTACTGTCCCCTACAAGACCTGACAAGCATGAAGGCTGTAGCTCTCTTCATTTGTCTTCTAGGATCAGCTTTTGCTATTCCAGTAAGTCCTCCTCATGCTATTATCCCTGGGCACTTAAGCTCCCATTCTGTGAATCCTCTATATCACCCCATTGCCCTGTAGAAGATTTGTATTTACATGCAGATTTTGAATATCTCTCTTCTAGACCCATCCCTTAAACAACAAACTTGGAACCCATGGACAGAAAGCTCCAGAAAAGGTACTTTTGTTCATTAAACAGTAAGAGGCAACCTATAGTGTTCCTTTAAGACATATATAAAGCACATAAATAGTGGCTGACAAATTGATTTAAGTTAAAAAGATGTAGCCTCCCTCATCACAAGAATTAGAAGCATCTTGTGCTTCACATAATACAGCTAGAAACAGGACAAAATCTAAAGCTCACAACAAACATGTCCACTATTTGAAAACATTACTTGAAATGAACCCCCACCTATAATCATTACACCCATATTCAATACGACAAACAAGCTCCCCTGACAGTTGAACTTGTGGTTATTGCTGCTGCAGTGAACAAGTAGGATGTGCTCCTCAATTTATCCCACCTGTCTCAAAGATGCAGGAATTTTAGCCCCCAATGCACTTCTTTATTCAGAACACAGAGCATGATGCCCAGCTCATCTTGGAGAAGCACCCTGGGCTCACACTCCAGCTACACAGCCTGATGGTGATGGGACTGATGACTTGGAGCAGCCATATAGGCATGGAAATGAAGGAGCTCAGAATTCTGCACTCATGGTTGACCCAAATTCCTTTTTCTTGCACCATTCTGAGGAGCATTTGTGGTTCAGACACAATGGGCCTTGGCTCCAAACCAGTGAAGGTTTTGGAACAACTAAATTTAGAGCATTTGTTTCTATAGTAAGAAATGCCAAGTCCCAACTCTGATGCTAACTTTTTTTTTATAACTATGATTGATAACCCACTCTGTGCTGCCCACCAGATGCATTTTGTGCCAATCTGGATGATGTTCTGCATTATGACAACAAACCAAACCAAAAACTTCTCCTCATGAAGTACCCAGCAAAACAAACTATAGTAGCAACACCAGGTTGCAGCCTCCCAGAATCAACACTCACACAGAACACACTTGGATGGAAACACAACATTGCAATATCCAAGCAAATTGTCATAGAAGGGTTTGGGTTGGAAGGCACCTTCAAGATCATCTAGTTCTAACCCACCTGCATGAGCAGGGACAGTTATTCCCCAACAGTAGCCAATTACAGCTTCATAGCCTGAAATTTTCCCTCATGTTAAGAGACCCAAGTATCTCCAGAAGCAACCAAATTCTAATTTTTTCTTTTATCCTGAGGAAAAAGGCATGACATTCAGACACATAGAATCACAGGCTGGTTTGGGTTGGAAAAGACCTTCAAGATCATCTAGATCCAACCCTCCTGCATGGGCAGGGACACCGCCCACCAGCCCAGGTTGCTCCAAGCCCCATCCAACCATCTCTGCATTGAGGTTGTGGTGCATAACAAGGTTTCCTATCCAGACACAAGCCACATCTTTCTCAAACTACTGTTTCAAACACAGACACCCATCACAGACAATCCTCATGACTCTCTGGCCTTACAGTTTCTGACTCTATGGATCTGAAAGCCCTTCACAGAAGGCTGCTTTTTGGCTTTAAGACATATAATATGTTGTATGCAGCAATGCAGCAGTGTAAAAACAACCTGTTCTTGAAACTTAATTTTCAACTGTTCTAGTATCAGCTTGAGATGCTTAGTAACCCATAGATAAGTTTTTATAAGGTCTTCAAGAAACGTGTATTTAATCTGGAAAAGCTCTTCACTCAATTCCTGATAGATTTAAGCAAACATACAATCTTTCCCTGAAAAAGTCTGAGTTGGAAAGAACACAGTGAATATATTGCCCAGTGCTTTTCCTGCATCAGGAAGAGCACCAGGGAAAAGACAAACCTGTAAAACATTCAGATGCCACCTTGACATTAGGAAACTGGACATAGCTGATCTGCTAAGAGCCAAATTAATATTTCTAACCCTACCATTTGTTTAAAATTTGCATTTGTTAGTGGAGTGTTTGTTTCCAAGCAGTCACGACTCTGCCCACACTGAAGGAAATGCTATTCCAGCAACTTAGACTCTGAGAAGGTCTCATCTTCATAAATACACCCCCAAAAGCTTCAAGGAAAATCAGCATCAGGTGCTATTTTTTAATGAGCAATAAGCAACACTGAACATCCAGAGGTGGTGTTGAGAAACACCTCAGATGTTGCTGCTCCTGAAAGGGCCTTGACCCACCTGATATTCAGCTGCAGTGATGTCCCTGTCCTGCTGATATTCAGCTGCAGTGATGTCAACAGCAGCAGAAAGGCAATTGCTGCACCAAGAGCTAGCAGGCATCTTAACGCCTGCTTTCTCAAGCATTTGAACCTTTTCCCCAGAAGTGACTGGTTTTGCTATTAGTTTGACAGCATGGAAAGCAAAAAAACAGTCATTCAAACCCCCTACAACTCCTGCTAGTGAGCTCATGATACAGTAGTTGCCATCAGATAAAACAGATCCTGATTTATTCAGGTGGGAAGCAACAACAGAGCAGACTCCACATAGATGAATATGTTGATTATGAAATAGTTAAGATGCACTTCTCAGAAATTACTAGCACAGCACCTTGTGAAAGCTGCTCCCTTTCTTCTCCTGCCCCTCTTTTCCCAGGCCTCCCATTTAAGTTGAGTAGCACATCCCCCCTTCTCTGAGCTAAGTGAGAATTACTGCAGCCTACAAGTGCCTGCAGTTATGACACTCAATTACTAATTAAGCATTTTGAGATTTCACAATTCACCCAGATGCATCTGTCTCCTCTGAGATCTTCAACAGAGTTGCAGAGACTTCTTCAGATGTGAATTTCATGCTCTGGGCTTGCTTAAGAGGAGCATTTACAAACAAAAAGTCAGTGTCATGCTTTGCAACACAGGGAAAAAAATGTTGCAGTAACTTCAAATAAATGTTAACATTTACTAATCTACTTGGTTTTTGTTTTGTTTTAAGACTGAAGAGCTTCATCATGAAGCCCCACAGGAAGAGAAGGCAGGGTATGCAGACAAAGCTGATTTGCTGCCTGGTCACAGAAACCTAGAACCAGATTTACCAGCAGCAGATGCTGAGCACAGGGATGAGCCCCAGCCCACTAGAAAACTAAGGAGAACAGGTAGCGAGCACCAAGGGAAAAACAGCCTCAAAAGCATCAATTTCCTTGCGCTGAGCAACAAACCAGGCTTGGCTTCTGATAACCAGGAGAGTGACTCTGGAAGCAGTGGCAGAGAACTGTTCAGTTCTGAGCATTCCCAGTTCAGGAAGCAGGAGAAACACAGCAATGCAGCCAGTCGACATGGTCTGGGCAGTGCAGAAAGTCCAGTGGATGCTCTGAGCCTTGATCATGAGCATAATGTATGGAAATACAACAAAAACACAGTTGGCCTGTCTGAAAACAGCAGGGAAAGTGATGAAGAAGAAGGTGTGGAAGAGGAGGAGGAGGAATGGGGTGAAGAAACTGATCACAGGTATATGAAGCACAAAGATCACCAGACAAATCAAAGCAACCAGCACAAAAGACAACGAAATGAAAACAGGATGCAAGGTGATGAAGCCCTCAGAGCTCCCAGCCAATCCATCTGGATAACCAAGAGAGAGAAACTGGACCTAGAGGGAGAAGAGAGTGAGAACAGCCAGAAGAAGCCTTATCAAGGAGTCCCCCTCCCTCCAAAACCCCTTCGTGAAGATCAGGATGACAAATGGCAAAGCCAAGAGAGGAAAACCCAAAGTCAAGTCCATGATCAGAGTGATCACAACACGGTGGTGAAGAGACAAGATATGGAGGATGTTGATGATAATGGTCACAACAGCAGTGATGTTGATGGTGAGGAAGATCTTAGCAACACCTGGAAAGAAGCAGCCTATGAGGAAGAGGAGAGAATCCAGAGTAATAACCAGGAGAGCACCAGTACTGAGTACAAAGGAATCACTGAAGATCACATTGCAAGTCGGCAGGACCCTGAGGGCTACCAAGATGTCAAGGTTCAAGATTGTCTTTCCTCTGAACAAGGTGACTGTGAGCCACCTACCTCTGACAGTGAGAAGCAACAACTGGAAACAGGTGGCTCTGTTCAGAGCATGAGTTCAACAGAAAATGAAGAGAAGGTAAGTTCTCCTTAAAATAAAGTTGCAATATTCAAAGCAAAAAACAAAAGGGGGGTGGGAGGAGGGAGAGAAACCAGCCACACATTTAAATTCCTGATGATTGAAAGGATATTTTGGAGAAAAACAGGTGTTCATTAATATGCATGTCTTATCTTGCCTTTTGTTATTCATCTGGGTCCTGCAGTGTCACTTCATATTTAACATTTAGGTGAAGTGGTACCAGCAACAACAGAACATAACAGCTCCATCCCCACTGAGCTGGGTAATGAAACATACAAGTAACTATGGACACACCGATACAAAACTTGGAACCCAGAAACAAGCCAATAGGAAAGCCTGGTTACTCCTCCCTCCCAAAGATTTGAAATATTAGCACACAAAAATGAACAGCTTGGAAAGGCAGGGATAGAATCCCCAGAATAACTGACATCCTTTCACCCAGGATGAAGAATGGGGGCTTTGTCCCTTCAGGGAAAGGAGGATGTTGCATCCAGACCCACCACACCCCAGTCAGACATCAGATAACCAGGGGATTACCAGGGGTGCTCTTCAAAAAAAAAAGGACTGAGTTTTCCTACAGCTGCTAGAGAAGCAGGGGGCTTGGATCTAGATGATCTTGAAGGTCCCTCCCAACCCAAACCATTCCACTGTTCTATGACTAACACTGCCAGAGGTTGTGCACTTCTCAGGCATTTTGCCTGGCAACCTCATTTTGCTGCACACAGAGCAGTGTCTCACTCAGCTCTGTATTTGTACCTGAACAAAAATTTGGCCAAGTTTTATTCTTCCCAAGATTGACCACAACTTCTCTTTATGTCTCTGTGACTGTACAGTTGAAGACTACAGGCAGCTCCCATGGTGACATGGAAAGTGGAAGTAACAGGAGTGAGAAGGCTCTCCTGGGTAAGCCACAAGCAAAGCCAGCATTTATCTCTGCAGCTGGGGAACCTGCTGAACTGCATTTCTTTTCTGCCTTTGGCAGCACACAATTTCACATGACTAACCCATGCTTGTCCACAATCCTGCATCACAGTTATGTTCCAGGAGAATCCCTTCCACACACCCTTGTATTTACCCATTGGTTTGTGAAAAACACTGTTAGGCAGTGCCCGGGTTTTTTGTGTCAGTGACACAGGGATCGGAATTACCTTGCACTGAAACTGTTCCATTTCAGAACAGTAGCTTCAACTCAAGAAGGACTGGGACAAGTGCCAATGCTGCTTCACCAGAGGAAGCTGGAAGTGAATGTCAGTCCTTTTAGAAGTAGCCCTGGGACTGCTAGAAGTCTCTCAAAAATGTCCATTTCAACTTAGGTTTGCTTTGTTCAATGCAAGATCCAGCTGCATTTTAACAAACTTCCAGGAAGCACATGACTTCTTACTGGGCTGTCTTTTGCTTTGACTGTCAGTAGCACCCAAAATGCACACTTGGCTTCATCTCATCCCCTCTAAAATTCCCTCCTCCTTCCTAGGATTGCTAGATCCCTGTCGGAACTTCCACTGCAAAAGGGGTAAAGTCTGCCAGGTGGACAAACAAGGGAAACCCAGCTGTGTGTGCCAAGATCCTGCTGCTTGTCCTTCTACCAAAGACTATGAGCGTGTAAGTATTTCACTCAGTGCACAGCCTGGGGGAAAGATAACCATGAAGTTGACAAGATCACACATTACTCTGCTATGATTTGAAAAATTCTACCTTGAAAAGCATGCACAGGAGTTTGGGTGATTCCAACAATTGTGAAAGTACAGAGCTTGAGCACAGTATGAACATATGTAGCTACACAGTAAGTACATAGTGCCCTTGTTGCCACAAAGGCCAGTGGAATCCTGGGGTGCATGAGGAAAAGTGTGGTCAGCAGGTTGAGGGAGGTCATCCTGCCCCCTCTGCTCTGCCCTGAGGAGGCCACATCTGAACTGGGTGCAGTTCTGGGCTCCCCAGTTCAAGAGAGACAGGGAACTGCTGGAGAGAGTCCAGGGGAGGGCAAGAAATGACTGGGGGATTGGAGCATCTCCCTGATGAGGAAAGGCTGAGAGAGCTGGGAATGTTCAGCCTGGAGAAGAGAAGGCTGAGGGGAGACCTTATTAATGCCTGTACGTGTCTGCAGGGTGGGTGCAAGGAAGATGGAGCCAGACTCTGCTCAGTAGTTTCCCAGGGACAGGACAAGGGGCAATGAGCACAAGCTGGAACATGGGAAGTGCCATTTAAATATGAGGAAAAACTGCTTTACTGTGAGGGTGACAGAGCCCTGGGACAGGCTGCCCAGGGGGGGTGTGGAGCCCCCTTCTCTGGAGCCATTCCAGAGTCTCCTGTGGAATGTGCTCTGGGCTATCCTGCTTTAGCAGGGAGTTGGACTAATGATCCCTAGAGGTCCCTTCCAACCCTGACAGGTCTGTGAAAAGTGTTTTGTTTCACTTAATCTCTCAAGTATCACAGCTTTTCCCTGTCACTCAAAGTTCTACTGACCCATTTAATGTTTTAGAGCATATACTGAATGCTACTACATATCTCATGTATACAACCTGTACCATCCCAGAAACTATATCACTACTTCAAACATAATTCAAATTGCCTCAAAACTGTGTCTTTAAGTGCAGGCAACTAATCCTTATGTAGGCACCTAACTACAATTTTCAATACTTCTGGTCACAGGAGCTCTCTGTAGGTATTCACAATTGCTACACCACATGTCAACAACACTTCTATTATTGTCAGGCCTGTATGAGTGACCAGAATTTTTCTCCATGCAGTGGGAGGGATTTATTTTGTTTTTCACTCCTCCTCTAGGTTTGTGGTACAGATAATAAGACTTATGAGGGTACCTGTCAACTTTTTGGCACCAAATGTCAACTTGAAGGGACAAAAATGGGACGCCAGTTGCACCTGGACTATATGGGCTCCTGCAAATGTAAGGCTTGTTTTTCTCTAAGGAATTCACCTAGGTATAAAGAGCCAGTAGCCTTAACTACCAGCTAGGCCTAAGTTACCTGCTTACACCCTCTGCTCTCCCCCTTCTGCACCAATTACCAGGTAATTAAGACCTTCAAACCCTAAACAATGTTTAAAACATGTTGTGTTTTTTTTTTAAGACTAAAGGTCTTAACCATCTGAATCCTAAAGATATTCCTACTGTGCTGACACCAATTTGTCAACCCTGTCTTCTGTCTGCACTGTCTCACATGCTCCCATTGCTTCATACCTTGACCAGAAAGCCAGTATTTACAGCCAGTTAAGAAATGAAAATGTCAAATCCAAACCAAACCACCCACCTACTTAGATGTCCAATGCAGAAGTCAGGATCTAAAAAGCCAGAACTGAACTCCAAGCTCTCCAACTGCTGCATACTCTGGAAGGGAAGTGCACTCTGCCAGAATATTCTCTTGCTGTCAAGTACTCAACTGCCTGCTAACAGTTTCACTGCACAACTCTGCTCAGAAGCTGCACAGATATCAAAAAGGTTGTGGCTGGCACAGCTGGGCAAGCCAAGAATCACAGATTTCTAATGGAACCCATTAATTGCATTTCCAATTTTATGTGTTAACAGCTCCATCCATTCTAAGCTGAACTGGAAGCTTGCTAGTGAGAATCCAATCTAGCTAGGCTCAGAAATGCTTGAATGGAGACCTAACATATCACTGGCTAACAAAAGCTCTGCTGTTTGGCACAGACATCCCTCACTGCACGGACTATGAAGTGGATCAGTTCCCTCTCCGGATGAGAGACTGGCTGAAGAACATCCTCATGCAGTACTATGAACGTGACCTGGATACTGCTGGATTTCTAACTGAGAAGCAAATGAGTAAGGTCAGCAATCCTTTAAATAAGACCACTGTTAGAGCTGGACTAACCCTGTGGGGGAAAAAAGTGATTCACACCTGACAAGCTCTCCCATTTCCTATGAGCAATCCCTCTCTGGTTAAGGCCATTTAGACACAATTAGACTCACAAGTTGCAAAATTAACTGATATGGCCCCTTGTACTCATTTCAACTGAGACACTTCTGCTATTAGTGTTCCTTCTGTCCAGACACATGCAAACTAAGCATATCCATTTGAATTCAGTGCCTACAAAAAGGCAGAAAAGTCAGAATTATTGCATACCTAGAGAAACATCACCTGCTTGAGAGGACAAGGAACTGCTTCTGTTCAGCAAGGTGCTATGTGACCAAGATCCTGGAAAGATCAATAAATATTTAGATAAGGATGATCCATTTCATGCAGCTAGTGTCACTTCTCAAAAGACTTGAGAAGACTAAGATGGAAGATCTGGGTATGGCTAAGTAATTAAAAGACAGAATAAGTGGGAACAGCCAGCCAAGAGTTCACCTGTAGAGTCTGAGTTGAAAGCACTTGTGCCACTCAGCTTTTTAAGTGCCCTGGAAGAGGGACAAAGTCTGATGACAATGCACAAGTATTTAAAGGAAGAAAGGAAGGACTCAAACTCAGCATGGGGAGCCTGACAGCAGGATTCAAGATGTATTTACAATAGAGAGTTTAGGGGACCCTCATGGGGGCAGGAGAATCCTGCCTTGGACCAACCAAAAGTAGCTCCTCATCTTCTTGAGACATACCTTGTACTAGGTCACCACTACAGAAGTACCTGAAAATGGACTCAACACTTGAGGGTATCATTTGCACTTTTTAATCCAGCCACATGCACTGTCCATCTACACTGTGATATTGAAGGGTTATCAAGTGACACAAGTGACATCAAGTGACAGCTTTAAGAGAAAAGAGTTGCCTTCTACCATCCAGTAGACCTGCAGCATCACACCACATTGGTTTAAATCAGAGGAAGCATCTCATGCCAATGGGCCTTTTTTTTTTTTGAGAAGGATTTGTGTCAAGCCAATTGGTGACAGCAGTTTTGGTTTTGAAGATATAGATGCCATAACTGTCTAAAAAAATCTTAACTGTTAGAAAAAAAGGTTTAAGTTAAAACCAGACCTGAGCAGCTCTAACTCTGGAGTAGGAGGTGCATGTGGTAGGTCACAGAAGGTTTACACACAGTATGTTTGAGCAGCACCAAAGGCTATTTAGAGAGTTACCAGTAGGGAAATTAACCTACCCAGAACAGCTCATACTAAATGGTATGAATCAGATGATTTCTGAGGTGGCTTATTCTACACCAAAGCTTGCCTCAGGACAAAAGATCAACAAACACAATAGAACTGTTTTCATCATGGTTTCATCCCCTACCAATCTGAAGCTGCTACCCCTGCTTAGCTGAGACTGGTGATCAGGCCACAGCAATTTCACTTCCCTTCTAGTCACTACCAAAGTTGACATGAACAGAGGCCAACTCTTCATGTTGTGTATGGCCACAAACACTAAAACCCATTTCCCTGCTGGAAATACCTCCTTGCTGCACATTTCCCTTCATAACAGATGTTCATCCCTAAGGAATCAATTTTCTCTGTTGTGTTCAGATCAAAAAAATCTACCAGAACGACAAGCGCCTTGTTGCTGGTGACCACGGCGTTGAGCTGCTCCTGCATGACTTTGAGAAAAATTACCACATGTATGTGTATCCTGTGCATTGGCAGTTTCATCAGCTTGATCAGCACCCTGCTGACAGGTAAAAAAAAAACCAGGAAAACCTTTGTGGGGTCAGTTCCAGTTTGCCATTTAAACTCAAGCTGGTACAGTTTTCTAAACCACTTGAAGGAGCAAGAGCTGTCCAAGAGCAGCCCCTCAGCTGAGGGAAGCCAGGATCCCCCTCTTTCTGAGGGGGCATTAATCTCTAAGACACAACTTCTCTCATTTGGAGCCCTGTCTTAGGTCAGAACCTGTTTTCTTCTTGCCTTTCATCATCATTACATACTACACACCATAAGCTCTACAGTGTCTTAATAGCTACTAACACCCTGGTCCTGCAAGAAAACAAGGCTCATGAGATCCTGCTATTGCTGAAGCCAAGAGCCACAGGCAAGGTACTCAAGGCCAAGGCCAGTCAGCAATAATTCACTAGTTTTCAATTAATACCACACAAGTCTCTGCTTAAGGAGCAGATACAGTAAAGCAGCATCAGTGCCACAGTTCAGAGGAAGCTCCCAACTTCTGAGAACATGACTTAGATTGCAGGCTGGGATAAGTGTTTCAAAGCTGCACACCCTCAACACCTCATCCTGATCACACCTACTGTCTTAGAACACAGCTAAGCACCTTTGCAAGCTTGATCTTCTGAAGATCAACAGCAAAACTCCATAGTAAGTCTCAGTAATACTTGTTTTGGCAAAAAAACGTTTGTGAAAAAACAGCAGTTGAATCAGTTTATCAGGAATCGTTCATCATCAGGATGACCTGGGACAGATTCATTACCTAAGCACCAGAACAGATTCCATCTGTCAAAGGCAAGTGTCATCTTCTAACAGCTTAGATCATCTTTGATGATCCTGATGATTTATTAATGAAATCACAGAATCACAGAACCATTCCAGTTGGACAAGCCCCTCAGGATCCTCAAGTCCAACCACCATCCCTGCGCTGCCAAGTTCTCCTCTAAACCATCTCCATCAACACCACATCCAAACCACCCTTCAACACATCCAGGGATGGTGACTTCACCACCTCACTGGGCAGCCTGTTCTAATGTCTTACAACCCTTTCAGTGAAAAAGTTACTCCCTAAAGTCTAGTCTAAACTTCCCCTGGCGCAGCTTGAGGCCATTCCCTCTTGTTCTATCACCACTTGTGAGAACAGAGCAGTGCCTACCTCTTCACACCGTCCCTTTAGGTAGTTATAGAGCAGCCTCCTCTTCCTCAACTAAACATTCCCAGCACCTTCAATGTTCTTCATCAGATTGATTCTCTAGACCCTTCACCAGCTTCATTGCCCTCCTCTGTCCTCGCTCCAGCACCTCAAGATCTCTCTTGAATTGAGGTGCCCAAAACTGGACACAACACTCCAGGTGTGGCCTCCCCCAGTGCTGAGCACAGGGGGACAATCACCTCTCTACTTCTGCTGGCCACACCATTTCTAATACAAGCCAGGATGCCACTGGCTTTCTTGGCCACCTGGGCACACACTAGCTCATGTTCAGCTGCTGGTCAATGAGAACCCCCAAGTACTTTCTTGCCAGACACTTCCCAGCCACACTTCCCAAGCCTGGAGCTTTGCCTGGGGTTGCTGTGGCCCAAGTGCAGGGCCCAGTACTTGGCCTTGTTGAAGCCCAGACCACTGACATCAGCCCAAGGATCCAATCTATCCAAGTCTCTCTGTAGGGCCTCCCTATCCTCATGCAGATCAACACTCCCACCCAGCTTGATGTCACCTGTGAACTTCCTGATAACACACTGTGTCCCTATATGAACTGTATGAAACGCAGCTCCACATACCTGCTCTTTCTTTCAGGTTACTAACACACTCAGAGCTGGCACCTTTGAGAGCCTCCCTTGTTCCCATGGAACACTGCATCACCCGTTTCTTCCAGGAGTGTGATGGGGACCAAGACAAACTCATTGCTTTGAAGGAATGGTGTCACTGCTTTGGGATCAAGGAAGGTAAACCTAAAAGAACAGGCAGAGCTACAGGACAAAACGTTTCTATTGACACTAGGCACATTCTCAGACCACAACATCTGGGAAAGAAACTGTAGGCAGAAGTTCATGGCTACTGTGCATGGAGGCAAATGGAAGTCATGACAAGTTGGCAAAAGGTGCAAGGACCTGAATTGCTTTCTTGAGATGAAAAATCCTATTTGCTATGAAGATAAATTTAAAAGGGAGCTTCTACTAAACATCAAATCGTTCCCACGTAGTGTCTGAACCTCCATGTAGGCAGACATTTGGTTCAGCTCAGTCCACATGGAGAATTCTCTAGGGAAGTGAAAAGCTGGGTATTACTGTACAGCTGGTGGCTCTGGAACTAGGCAGCAGCTGAAGGAAAGCTGTCACCATAGCAATTTGAGATGTACATGACTTTTGGACAACCTACCTTCCTCTGACCTAGCCCCCAGTGACAGCTGAACAACCGTGCCATTAAGCAGGGGTAGCAGGAGCACAGGTTAATCCTAGAAGAGTTGGGACAGAAGGTGTTTGGCTCAACATGCGGACTCAAGAAACACATCCAATATCCTACCATCAACTCCATCATTTTCGGTGGAGGCTAGTTCTAGTCAGAGGTCAGGCAAGCAGAGCCATCACTCTGCCCAGGATTTGCCCAGCTCTTCTGATGAAAACTGATCAGTCACAAACCACATGTGGCATTAAGGTGTGAGGAGCCACCATAATATACATGCACTGCTGCCAGGGATTGTTCAGCCAAAGAGGGGTTTAGGGTCAGTCATTTGTGAGAGTGAAAAGGATTCTCAGCTCACAAACAGATCAGGGAGAAATAGAACAGAAACAAGAGAGCACCTATCAAGAAAAGTCTCAATTAATGGCTCATGAACATGATAGCAACAACCATACATTGTTTTTTAGGGATAGTATTCCCCTACATGAGCCCTCTGAAACTTCATTGTATCACTTTCTTGATCATAAAAATGTCTCTTTGGCATTAAATGTTTGTTTTCTTCTTCTTTGTTGCAGAAGACATAAATGAAAGTCTCCTGTTCTGAGCTTGGCTGGACAGAACCACAGTGCAGCACTAGAACTAGTGAAATATCTGAATCCTGATCATTTCTGTAACTAACAGCTTCATAGTTTTCAAGAAAGAAAGTGGTATAAGCTTCATTGCAGTCTCATCAAATAACCCATGTGCAGGAGAGTTCTACATTCATTAACCGCAGAAAAATTTAACTACTCCAAGTGGCCCATGGTTAAAGAAAGCGTTTTACCCTGCACTTATCTCTGATATCTCTGAAATACTAACCTGATGACTGAGCTATTTACAAAGCTCTCCAGTAGGATTATAGGATGTGGATTTTATCACACTGTGAAGAAAATTAACTTGAAATAGCACTTGTTTCTTTTATTTACTGTACTGTCAGTTTAACATTCTGCATAGAAACCTCAAATAAAATAAGTCTTCCTAGATATGTGGGTTTTGTCAGGACTTTGTCAAAGAAAAGGAAACATTTTTCTGAGAAAGAAATGCTATTTCTTTCATCATCTCCCAGCTTTTGCTTGCCTGAAGATAGGCACCACTTAGGCATAAAAATCAGGACAGAATGGGGTTAGTCCTGAATCCGATTAACTTTGTGATTTTAAGCCCAGCACTTAACTGAAAACACTCCCAGCACACTCTGCTGTAAGCAAGAGCCCTCAAATGCTACTCCTACAGAGGAAGATCAGAAAACACCTTTCATCTGAACCATGTCATCTTTCCCGTGGAAAGAAAATGAGATTCAGAAATGCTGTTTTGGTAGTTTTAATACTGGACAAGTCCCCTTGCCGCTCTCTAATTTGTTCTTGGACCAGCACGGGCTGCTAATGCCAGCCCACCTCCAGCCTGGTACCCTGGGAGACAATCAAGCTATGACTGTTTTCAACACAGGAACAACTTCTGGAAAGAAGAGATTATTTCCCACTAAGCCCAGTTTCACTGACAGTTGCTCTGGAAAGGGTGACTTGTTGCCCACTTCACATAACACCACACAGCAGTGTGTGTATGTAGATATAGATGTAAGTGCATGTATTTAGCTGAGACATGAGGAGGGAACCAAGTGTGAGGGTGGTGAGACCCTGGTCCAGGTTGCCCAGAGAAGCTGTGGCTGCCCCATCCCTGGAAGTGTTCAAGGGCAGGTTGGATGGGGCTCTGAGCAGCCTGGGCTGGTGGGAGGTGTCCCTGCCCATGCAGGGGGGTTGGAACCTCATCTTTAAGGTCCTTCCAACCCAAACCATTCTGTGATCCTATCATCTCTTTTCACTGACCTGGCCATCTGACTCTCCTTTTCAAAGGAGATCAACCTCCTCCTCAGTGCAGTACTGATACCAGACCTGTTTGTGTTCATTTCCAGTCCTCCAGAACAGCCACACAGAAGACTCCAAAGAGAAGGAAATACAGGTGACCACCACATCATCTGTGGCTTATGGCTCAACAGGCCATGCCAGCAGGTGTGGGGTCACACTTCTACACTTTCTGGAGGAACACTGATCAGCTTTGTACAAATGCTTCCCCAAAAAAAAACATTTGCACCCTATAAACTCTGGATAACATGTCCTTCCTCTTGACAATCTTACATGTATTCTAGATGAAAAGAACTGGGAAGCATTCCAGCACATTTCCCAAATACTTCTGGAGTCTATTTCCATTTCAATCTGGTTTTGAGTTTGGTTTGGGGTTTTTTTTTTTCCAGTCACTGTTAATAGTTGCTTTCATTGAGGATGAGGACAATCTTTTCAAGTAGTCACACAAATAACTGCACAAACACAAACATGCCAACCTAGAAAATGCTACAAAAAACATGTTTCCTTCCTTCTGCTCTCACCCCTGTGCTCCATGAGCAGTATCTACTCTATTGTCTCCACACCAGGCAAGTAGGATGCTTTATAACATGTTTACAGCTCAGTTTGCATCCTTATTAAGCTGCAAGTGCATCCAATAAGCATCTATTATGCTTTGCACCCCCAGACATGGCCCAGAAAAGAGCATGGAGATGAGCTATTGTTACCAGAGACCTTAAACAGAACCAACATAATGCCAACATTTTGTGAATTGCATTCTCAAAGATTTTCCCCAGATACATATATTAAACTTTGTTCAGGCTTTTCTACTAAAATCATGACTAAACAGAAGGGCCAAGCAAACACCACAATTGAAAACTTATTTAGAGACTTACCTTTTAATAGCTTTTTGCTTAACCTCCATACAAGCCAGATGTCAGAAAGTTCAGCTCTCAAACTCCAAGGAACCTGTCAGTACACAGCTGGCCTCAAAAAGTAGTTAATTCACCAGGTCCCATTCCTTCAGGAAAAAGGAGGGAATTTTGGAATTGGTAACACTCCCTCCCAGTTAGCAGCTTCAGAACTCTAGGCTGCCATACCCAAGTGTTCCTCCAGTGCCACTGAAGTACAGAACCCTACAGACAGAACAGCTGTATTGCCAAAATGCTCAACAAATATTGGTTTGATACCACACATGGTTCCACTGCCAAACACATCAATGCTCCAAGGATTAGCAGGGGTCATATATATATAAAGGGCTTCTTTATCAGCTGATAAGTAAAATAAACATCCAGAAGGTCTCAAGAAGGTATGATCTGTGGTGCCCTGTAGATTTGATTTAAGATGCAGTACTCAGAACTGCACAGAGCCACCAACCTGTCCCACAACCCTATCACAGGAGCCAGCCAACTTGGTCTCATGTGCTGAGCAACTGTTTTAACATGCAATTCCAAGGTAATCCAAATGCTTTCATGTCACCTGGACTAAAGAACATGAAATAAATCATGGTAGGAGCAGACTAAAGAACATGAAATAAATCATGGTAGGAGCAGACTGCATGAAAGATTTTTCTTCCACAGCAAGGGCAGTCACCCACTAGCACAGGTTTCCCAGATCATAACATTTATCACCACCCTACTTCATATGGCTCAAAATTGGTTCATATGGCTTAAAATTAATCGAGATGCCCTCCCCAGGTCTCAGTCACAACATTTGGCTGTTACTGTCACCAACCATTAACAATATTACACAATTAAGCAGTCAAGAGCAATTACCCCTTTGATTAAAAACAGTGAGAAGTGTCAGCAATTACCATGCAGTTCTTGTTAGCTGCATAAATGCCACAGAAGAGCCACCCCATACTGTGAACTACTCACATGAACTAAACTGTATAAAATCACCATAATTTACAAGATCACACACTGAGGCTGCTCTTCACAATGATGCTGTTTATGGCAGTGTCCCCAGCAGCTGTGCACAGCAGGAAGAGAGGAATCTCAAATTCCAGCTCCCAAAAATCAAGTTCCATCCTCCAACAGTTACCTTTGTAAATAAGAGGCACTGACAAACATTTAGATGTGAACACCACCCATACTCTAAACTAGAAAGCAATTCAATGCGAAAACTAATCTCTCGAATTAGGGAATAATGGAAAAGACATGTGAAGTGAAACAACTCCAAAAAGAAAAGTTGCTTTATTATGTAGCGCTTAATTTAAGTCATCATCCTACAAGTCTTACATCCCTTAAGGATTCACACTCCTGGCAAGAAATCAGGACAAAAAGGCAGAGCTAAAGTGAATACTGAACTGCAATCAGTCAATCCCAGTGCAGTCACACAATTCTGCAGATGTTATGAAACGGCTGCAAATAATTAAGACAAGAAAGGGAAAATATGGCAACAGCTCCACATGCATCTCATTTCACACGAGAAATCAAAAGAAGCCATTTGAAGTCTCTGAAAAAGCCAAAGTGGTTTTGCCCCCCAAATTTCACAGGAATTTCACTCCATTCCCACTGAAAAGGACAGTGTTAACTGTTCCAAAGCTGGAAAATCTGAGTCTCTCCTTGGTGTCCATTGATTCCTTATTTACATCCCTCATGGCACTCAGGACCAGGAGCCTCACTCCAGTGGGCTCCTCTTCTCTCAGCCACAAGCTTAATGAAGTAGCTATGACTTGCATACAGCTTGAGCTTCTCACTGATGTCAACCCACTTCACTTTTCCAGCATCATCACCTGCTTCCAGAGGCAAATTATCCATTGTCTCACCTGTTCATAAAATAAGAGTTAGAACAGCCTAATGCACCTTCTTTTCTGCTTTTTCTTCTCACATTTGATCAGTTCCACCCTTCTACAAGGCTCCTCCACTGGCAGTGGCTTCACCTGCTTCTCAAAGGGACCAGTTAAAGTTGCTCAATCATTCTGTGCCAGAAACATTTTTCATCTTTGTATTATATGAAGGTAAATCTGAGTGGCAGAGGTGGAGTTACCTCCATGTCACCACTCCTAAGGTAGCATCAGCAGCACAAGTTACTAGAAATTATTGGGAAGACTGCCAATGCCTCTGCCTTGATTTTTGCTTGTTTGTTGGGCTCATGTCCCACTGCTTCCTTTCTCAGGTTCTGAAACTTACATAAGACAAAGCAACCAGTTTCATGGATCCTCCCACCCCAGACTCACTAGGAAGGCCAAGCAAACCAACTCAAGATCAATGCAGTGATAAGAAGGAGCCCTTGTCCAATGCTCCATCTCCATATAAAGGCACATGGTCCACAGCTTAGAACCAGCTAACAAATAATTTTCAGGCCAAGCCCGTGTTCCTTATTTCAAGACTGAGAGAAACCAAATGGAAGCAACTACCTGTCAAGACTGAACATCTGAGGAGACAAGAGCTTCTCACATCCACAGATTTTAGTCCAATACTTTACACCTGACTAGCATGCTCCCCCAGTTTCATTGCCAAGCTCAGCCCAACATATACCCTAATGTCAAACCAATATATTACAGTAATAAGCAGCTAAGAGCAGATGTGGAGATACTCACCAGTTTCATCATGATAGTTCACAGCCTCTGTCTCCATCCAGGCATTATCAGTGTTACGAGGGTCATCCACATACCCTCTGTACACCTAAGGACCCAAAAACCACATCAATCTGTGTCACAACAAACAAGGTGGAAGCAGTAAGACTATTTTATTTCCTTCCAATACATTTGCCCTTACAGAGTTTTCAATAGTCCCTTCCATTTCCTACACTACGACCACCCAAGCATCACAACTTCATTTCAGAAGAAGCATGGACAGCAGCATAAGGGAGGTGATTCTGACTCTCTGCCCTGGTGAGACCCCACCTGAGTCCTGTGCCCAGTTCTGGAGCCCTCAACACAGGAAGGACATGGAGCTCATGGAGAGATTCCAGAGGAGGCCATGATGATGATCAGAGGGCTGGAGCAGCTCTCCTCTGGAGATGGGCTGAGAGAGTTGGGGTGTTCATCCTGAAGAAGAGAAGGTTCCAGGGAGACCTTAGAGCACCTTCCAGTGCCTGAAGGGGCTCCAGGAAAGCTGGGGAGGGGCTTTGCACAAGGGCAGGGAGTGAGAGGACAAGGGGGAATGGATTAAAACTGGAAGAGGTGTCTCTGCTCATGGCAGGGAGGCTGGAACCTGCTGATCTTTAAGGTACCTTCCAACCTTAACCATTACATAATTCTGTGATTTCAGCTACACTTTTCCAAGCTCCACACAGTTGCAACTTACATGCATATCTCAAGAGACTATCACAAAAGGCACAGAGCTCACCACAAAATGTTCCTGGCTGAACAGCTTATGGAGTTGCTTCTCCAATTCTGCTTTCTCCTCAGGTGATTTCTGCAAGGAGTTCAAGGCTTCCTCTCCAAATTCTCGCTTCAGGGTAGCGCTAATCTTCTCCCCTGGGTCCACCATCCCCTTGGGGTGGGAGGGAAGGGGCAAAAAAAAAAAAAAAAGGTGACTATCACATCCTTCAAAACCTGCACTGGATTAAGTTTTGCCTGCATTCCACAAAAGACGTGGCCAGGATCAGAAACAATAAGTGCCTTGCAATGCAGAAACAGCAGAAGGCATCTGAGCTGATGCTCAGACAAAGCCAGGTTAAGGAGAATTTCTCCTCACCTCTGTAACAAGCTGTAACATTAAAAAGCACACTTTTGTCAGGTGCACAGCAGCAAGGCCTTTTAACCTTACCAGTGGGGAAGTGTATGCTGTCTCCAGGACTTTGCTCTTACCCCTGGAATAGCCCACTCCCCACAGTCTCTCCTCTTGATAGCTACAAACTGCAAGATGTTTTTCCCAGTAACTGGATGAGCAACTCTCTTGCCACTTCCATCCCTCTTCCACCTGCAGCAAACAACAAACAAGAACATGCTTTGCTGATTCCTGGCACAAGGGCCTGGGAGAGGAGCAGCAAGGCACCTGCACTGTTCCCTGTGCAGGGGAAAACCAAGTGCAGAAAGACTGTGCAGCAAGATCACAAGCAAAGGTAAAGCCCAGAGTCTGTCACACACCTCTATCAACCGGGTTCTGATCCAGAAGGGCACAAATTGCACCAAAGCCACATTTCAAGAGCAGTGAGAGCTGTGTTCAGCTCATCCCATCAGCTGCACTTCTGCCTCTCCACAAGGAGAGGGTGAGGATCCCTCCTGCCAGAGCAGAACAGCTGTGCAGGCTGCAGCACCTCCCAAAGCCCACCTGGCACCAGCCTGAGGACACAGCCACCCACCACTGCCTTCAGCAAACAACTAGGAATCTACAGTTACAGGAAACAAAAGTCTAAAAAAAAAAAAAGAGACAAAATAGCATTGCAGCCTTCTGGAAAGGGAAAGAAGTAAACTACATGGTAATGAGCAGCACAATGGTTCCACCTTCAGCACGACACTTCTAGCCTGCACCCCTGCTACCGCCCACCACCTTTTCTGAATGCTTCCTGTAAAAGAGCTGGCATGTACACACACAGCTCCTGCTGCCAAAAGCACAATTAAAACAGAGCATACACTGACAATAAAGAAAGAACAAGAGAAGCCTAACCCCTCCTCCTCCTGTAATACATCAGGCCAAGTTAGTATTTCTTGCAGAGCACAAGGAGGCACCTTGCTTTTTTTTTTGCAGTTTAGTCACTATGACAGAAAAACAACATTCCTGGGATTTAATATGCCTCATCCAAGGCCTTCTGGCCTATTACATATACAGGATCAAAATATCACATAGTCCTTTCAGTTTTTACATTTGTTACTGAAGATTATTTGTGTATTTTTATTGAAATACACTTTGAGTTGTTGGGGTTTTTTTAATTTGCTTCCTCAGCATTTCAAAAGAATTTGCTTGTAGGGAGAGGACAAGGGGAAATGGAGTAAAACTGGAAGAGAGGAGATCGAGGTGAGACATGAGGAGGAAATTCTTGAGTGTGAGGGTGGTGAGACCCTGGCCCAGGTTGCCCAGGGACGCTGTGGAAGCCCCATCCCTGGCAGGTTGGATGGGGCTCTGAGCAACCTGATCTGGTGGGAGGTGTCCCTGGGGGTTGAAACTATATGATCTTGAAGATCCTTTCCAATCCAAACCATTCCATGATCCTAGGATTAGCAGCAAGTTCTTATTTTTTGACAGAGAAAAGAACTCTTGCTGTTCAGATACCCATATCTGAAGGGGCTTACACATAGGGGAAAATACACAAAAGGCCCATGAAAAGTCCACATATGCACAGAAAAAGCAAAAAGCATGTTTATTTTTGCTCTGCTGCAAGGCACCTTTCAGTTACTTGTCCCTTACCTAGTCACAACAGGATCAGCAGCATGGTTTGGTCCCCAGCGCCCTAATAATCCTCTGCCTGTGAGGCCAGTCCTGCCCACTGGGTTTCTGAAACAAGTGACACAGAACATTAACCATGTTTACTTTCAAAATATTCCTAGTATTCAAAAAAAAAAACCAACAACAAACAACCTTAGAGAGACCTCTATGGCACAGTACCTTGATTTGGCTCTAGCAGGTACCATGTATGAAAACTGATAAACCTGTGAGAGCTCTGAAACAACATAATATGCAAATAAAACAACCCACTCACCGGGGCCTCCCATTTTCCACCACATACAAGCCACTCAGACTCTTCCTCTCCACTTGCCCATCCCTCTCATTGAACTTGGGAGAAAAACCTTGATCACTGTGTGGAAAAGCATAATTTCATAGAGATATGTTAGCAAACACACACCACCTCTCCACCCCAGAAAAGCTTGAAAGCCAGCCCCCAGAGCAGCAACATCCAACCAACACTTTTTTCCACCAGAACTCAATTTGCAGGCCTTCCCTTTTCCACAGAAGGCCATAAAATCTCAGCTTTTACTGATAAGTCTCCCCTTATTTCATTCTGCAGATACATGTGCCCCTCTGAAGTATTTAACATTGAGAATATTCTTTAGACAAAGTGTTTCCAAAGTGTCCTTGCTAGGTTAAAGAACACGATCCATTGACAAAACTCAAAAAAACCTATTTTGCTACTTGAAAACTGAGCAGAGTTTTTTATTAGAGATGATTTGTCAGAGTTTCAAGATAATAATCACCAATACTAAACCATATTAAAAGGAAATAGAAGCACAGGTCCAAACAGCCATGGTAAATGAGGAAGGAAAGGCTGAAACCTCAAGTGCCATTTTATTCTGACCTTTCTACACCCACATGCAGACACAGGAATCACCATGTCACCTTATCACAAGTTACACTAGATGCATGCATCTAACTTTCTAGCCAAGAAACATACAGCTTTCCTTAAGAGGAGAATATATTCACAGAATCAATAAAAATGAACACATATTTACAAAAGAAAGTACAGTCAGGCATTCAAACATGTCACATTTCCTGAGTCAGAGTCCTCAACTCTATAACTACATGTCCACATGAATTCTCTTCTCACCTTGCATTCAGTCCATGAACAAACAAGCATGTTATGAAAGTGTTCTCCTGAATTCCTAAGATTTTTTCCTCAGCTCACAACACAGAGAAGCAGCACCTCACAGAAACCAACAGCTGTTGATCAATGTTATTCCCATTAACACTACTCTTACCCTCAAGCACCAGCTAAGTAAAAACACGTGTCCAAGACCTTCATAACTCACCCAACCCATTCAGTTCTCTAACCACCATTTTTCTAGGTCTTTACTTTCACACAACACTGTGAAAGCACAATGTCAAGCTCATGATCTTATTAACTCAGCTGACCCATATTTCCCACTTCCATGTTCACAGGAGAGAAGAGCCACAATTTCCACTCACTTGATTTGGGGATCTGCCCAACTGGGTCCAGCCAAAACAGACCCTGAAGTGTACTCCACAGGATGATAATCTTTCCACTCCACCAGCCAGCCTATTTTGTCTTCAGGAACTGGGCTACGCTCCACACGAGATCCTGGATACGGGCAGGTCAGAGCTTTGCTGTGGCAGAACTTCACATTGTAACCATTGGACATGGTAACAGGATAAAGGGAGGACCAGCAGTTTGCAGACAAGTTACTGAAAAAGAGGAAGAAAGCATCTCAATCATTAGGCTGGTATTTAATCCCTTATCTGCATAGTACAGCACAGCAGGCAGAACAGACTAGATGTTTCCACAAACCAGCTCTTAATAATAGACTATTGTTTCCTCCAGCCACCATCCAAAGGTCTGCCTGGGCCAAAAAATAGGGAATGTTACCTTTAGCTGCTTGAAGCAGAAGGGAACTCTACTAGACACAAAATTTCAGAGCATGAATAACAACCTGGAACCAGAGCTGCCATTCCAGACTGTGTGGAACACTGAGCAGTGATGAATCAATCCTACATAAGCAACAGCTCAAAGGTATGCAGGAATTAAATCTCCATGGGGGTATTTAATCAATAAACCAAATCAAGTCTTAACTAGAATGCTGCTCTCACATCCAGTGGCAGAATGAAATAAAGTCATGAGCAACACAGCTCTAGAAGTTGCTGTGACCACCAAAATATCCTTTTGTGCACTACTGAGTAGAATGACACACAGAATCATAGAATGGTTTGAGTTGGAAAGGACCTTAAAGACCATCCAGTCCCACCCCCCATGCATGGGCAGGGACACCTCCCACCAGCCCAGGCTGCTCAGAGCCCCATCCAACCTGCCCTTCAACACTGCCAGGGAAGGGGCAGCCATAACTTACCTTGGTTTTTAATTACAAAGAAAGCTGGAATTATCAAACTACTTAAGTTAAAAGGAAAAAAAAGATACTTGAGACTCTGATTCTATTTTGCCACTGGGAGCTGAAAGATTAGTCAACAATAATAATACTTAAAAGCAGATTGGGTTAAAGTGCCTGAGCAGCAGCTCTTAAAAACTCTTCACAGATTTCCTTCAACACAGAAAGAGGCCTTCCTGCACTCCATGTTTTTTAACAATTAAAAAAAGAGATTAATCCAGATAAGAGCCTCAAATAACCTACAGGAATACTCCAAAATCAAAACTTTTTAATTTCTTAGTGAAAAGGTTGTTTCTTTTTTTTAAAAAAGGAACCACCACTTCCAGCATATAAGGAAATATATCTTCTCTGCAAAAATACATCCAGGTTTTAACAACTTCACACCTGAGCAAAGTAATGTGACCAATGAGTTTCAGATGCAAAAAAAACCCAAACCAACTCATACATTAACCCTGTTGTTTCAACACAGATGTGACTATTAGATTACAGCTAGCAGCACAGGCCAGGGATTTTCAAACTCAGCAGTTTAAAACTCCTCACTCATCTGATGAAACCTTCACCCTGAAGCTGAACACTCACAGTTACACAGCAAGTGTGTGCTGAAGCATTCACAGCTGGTTCTCAAGAGCACAGTTAACTCACAACGCTCCCCGGGACTCAAGAGAGCCTTAACGCAGCCCGGGGCAGGACACACCGGAGGGCGCCAACCTCCACACGCAGGTCAGCGTTACATCCCTCGAGCGTTTTTCAACAGCTGCAGCAGCCCGGTTTCCGGGGACGGCAGGTTTGTGCCTACCAGGTGCAAAAGGGGCACCCGGAGCCACGCAGCGCGTCCCCCGCCAAGCTCCCCTCGGCGGGCAGGGCAGCCCCGGGACCCCGGCC